TTTGAGTGTGAAACAAAAAATATCAATGATTATTTTTCAAATTCTGAAATCATCTCCCATCAGTTTGTAAACTTTCGATATACTTGTATATAAAGTGTGTACCTGTAATAATCAAGTCATGTCACCAGTGAAAAGTTTATTCATTATGTTGTTTATAACAGTGAGTTTCTAATTATAGTACTGCTTATAGTACTGCAAAAGTTTAGGGATATAAAAAGTTTAATGTTTATTACAGATATTTATTTTCTATATGAAACAAAAGTTACAGAAAACAGTTTATTGCAGTATTGTTGTCCTCTCATCTGGCAAAATTTCAAGTTAATTTGCATATGTAAATTTTTAAAGCAATAATTTACTTCTGAGGCCTGTAGGGGCAGAACTGGCGAGTGTTCCACTAACATTCCGTATTAGTTTTGCGTATCTTTTTATGTAAATTTGGACTTGCTCAAAACGTAAATTTACGTTAGTTGCGTTTCGTTAAACAGGATGTGCAATTCACGCCAGTAATAAGTGAGCGTAACTTTACGTTTAAACTTATGCATTAATGCTTAGCTAAGAAAGTTTAATGAAACGCAAATAAATACGTAAGTTCTGCTTACGCAAAAAGTTACATTCAAACTTGAGTAACGATAATGTAAGTATGTCAGTGAAACTTACCCCAGATTTTTAGGTTGCTCACTTTTATAATTGCTGACTTGGTGAGATATATAAGTTTCTTTAATATGAGAAAACAAGCTTCTGTTGGAAGAATGGTTGTGGAATCTGTTCTTGCCAGAGAGGTGTCAGGCATGTTGCTCTACCAGTAAAGCTGGACAGTTCCATGTAACCTTAACAGTGAAGATGTGGCTTAGAATAGTGGCTTATTGTAGACGAGAGAGGAAATCTTGAAGGCTATGTAAAACGCCCAAATTGAAAATGTTGCACTAGGCTTGGTGTGATTGAGCTAGTTTATAGTTAATACATGTTTATCCATCTACACCCTCTTGCATCAGTACTTGAAGGTATCATTATGTGAAAATGGTGAATTAAAATACATCTGCAGAGACATCCATGGCTGAGAGGTTATGGTAGTTGACTTCAAACCACTTGCCAATCACCACTGGGTTTGAGTCCCAACAGTGACTTTGGATTCTTTCATATACAGCCAGCTAATGAAACCTTGGTGGTTCTACTTGGGTGCCTGTTTGTGCCTGAAATAATGCATGGAAGGGCACTTGAGGTCTTTTCCAGTAAAGCAAAGACTTAGAACCCACTCAAAAAGAAGCGAAAAATTTGGGGAAAAACATCCATACACAGTAAAATTAACTTCAGCCCTGTAATCCCTCCTGTAGTATATTTTCCTTTGTTTCTATACTTGCATGTAAAAGGTTGAAAAGAAACAAACAATTTGAACCTGTTTCAGGACAATAGAAATAATGTTCAAAGAATTTGATCTAGTTTCTGGACAACGAGAATGTATTTTAAATGGTACAGACAGTTAAACGAGAAAGGTATAAATTATATTGTGTTTCACTAAAATCTAATCATTCCTGTATCTTATCATTCTCCAGTTATCCTGTTCTCTATAAGAGAGGTAGCATGTTATAAAGTTATAAGATGTGTAGTTTTCTGGCAGGATAATTGAACAAGAATTGATCTTAAATGCCATACAGTTATCAATTATCTTGCAATGATGCTTTATTTGTATTTTCTCCAACAATACAGAAGTTAAAAGTGCACATATTTTTGCAATCTAAAAGATTTGTGTGTAACTTTGTGCAATACTAAATGCTGGGAAGAGTTTATACCAAACATACTAGTAGAGAATGTATTTACATAGACAAAAAATTGATGAAAAAGCTAAGTTAAAGATGTATCAACTCTGAATTTCCTTCTTAATTAACCTATATCTAAGTAAGACAGATTTAATGATTATCTCCCATGAATTATTTTCTAAGTAAGTTCCTAGTTATTAGGAGTCCATTGAGTACTATTGAGCCAAAATAGATGTGTTTTTCTGTTTCCTAAGTAAGATATAGTTCCCTTGGGATATATATATGCATACAATTTGTTTGCAACTTTATTAGATGATACTAGATAAAGTTCTGGCATTAGAAAAATGGTATTATTAAGCTCCCTGAAGGGAAAGCATAATATTATAGTCACTGCCATGCCTGTCAGTCTCACTAAACTACATTTTTTAATTACCTTAATGATACATAATAATGTTTGTCATGGGAATAACGTGAAAAGTATTTAAATAATTTCATTAACATGTCATTACACAATGATAGAGATCACAGAGAGAAAGTGCATTGTCTGAGAACTATAATAATGCTACTCTGCTTGGTTTGTTTTGATTATCTCCCTTTGTAATGTTATATTTGCTTATATAGCCTTTATACATTGACTGATGGTATTTCATATTTGGTGTTCTTCTAACTTCAGGAATAGTAAGGGGTCACTTGGGTCAAGTTCACTTTATACCAAGTCTTTCGCTCATGATGTTTTTCATATTTGTTAGGTCCTCTAACTTCTGATGAAGTAAAGGGAACACTTATTTCAAGGTCATCAGTGCTAGAAAAAGTGTGTTTTCTTATACTTTTGCAGCCTTTATTTCATTGACTCATTTCTCCTTATTTTGTAGGTAAATATCTTTAGTTCTATCACTTTTAGTGAAATAAGTTGTCACATAAGTTGTTTAGCTCTTACTGTCTTAATTTATTGACTAATGTACATTGCAGGTTCTAGCTTTGAAATACATTGACAATGTGCAGGTTCTAGCTTTGAAATACATTGACAAATGTGCAGGTTCTAGCTTTGAAATACATTGACAATGTGCAGGTTCTAGCTTTGAAATACATTGACAAATGTGCAGGTTCTAGCTTTGAAATACATTGACAAATGTGCAGGTTCTAGCTTTGAAATACATTGACAAATGTGCAGGTTCTAGCTTTGAAATACATTGACAAATGTGCAGGTTCTAGCTTTGAAATACATTAACAAAAGTGCAGGTTTTTGGAGAGTCCATTGGCTTGAGTGATTTTCTTGTTAATTTTTTTCTACTTTCTTGAGAAATAGTCTTTCAATGTTGCTGCAGTGTGGTGGAAAGAGAAAAGTTACTGTTTTGGGCTCAGAAATTTGTGTTGATCGAATTAAGGGTGCAACCAAATAACAAAAACACTAGCATTCCATTGTTATAAATTAGATTTTGATTGCGTATTTATGGCTGGAAGTCAGTTAGGAAAAAAATATCAAGTTTTAAGATATGAAATGTCAGTGTCAATGTTTCTATCACAAAATATTGTTTCACAGTATTTTGTTTGTAATAAAGAGACACAGATTTTCTGTGAACGGTAATTGTTCTTGAATATTGATGAGTGCTGGATGAATATTAGATGGTATCAGGCAAGTCTGTGACATGGCATAATTATCTACAAATAACCCTGGTAATAAATAGAAAAAAATAATGTAAGCGATAAATAGAAAGTGAATTCGACTTATAATGCCTTTCCTAATAAAAAAAACAAAAAAAACAAACAAATAAAACTTAGCAAATTTCTTAACAAGTCCGAGGTCCCTGTCTTTTGTCAAGATAAGTAGTTGTGACAACCAATTTTACCCAGTTGTCACCCTTCCCTTTACATTGGTGAAATAGCAAATATGATATAAGAACATAGAATCTGCATGTCAGGGACTTTATGTTTCATATATCAATACCAACCCCTTGATCCATCATCCGAGTCACACACCGGCAGCATTCATTTGTTCTGGTTATCTCCCCCTTTTGCACCTTGAAAATAGGAATAGAATAGAATGATTTACCTATGTTTGTATATAACTTTATAGAACCATTGACTGTATACTGCTAATTTTAATTCACTTGATTGCCAGCTATCTTTAATGCACTTTGAAATAAGTGAAATCTCTGAGATTCTCCATAACTTTCCCAAGCTGATTCAGGAGATAAATTAAAAAATCATGTAGACATGGGCTATCTTTAAAATATCATGCCATGCAGTCATGTTGGTTGCTGCACTGAGTTTGCTTCCAGGGCTTTATTTCCCCTATGGTGTGTTTGTGACAGGCCGTTCTGATTTATGAAACCCTTCTTTTTCTCAAAGGGTGATATTTTGTGGAAAATAAATTACCACTAGGATTTTTCTTTTTTTGGATAAAAACATAAAACATATAATTGAGTTTTTTCAACGTAACTGTTTGTAACTTGGAATGTTTAAGAATAAGAGGTGACTCTCCTTATTTCCCAAATTAAGCAGTAATACAGTTTTATGGCAGGTATCAAAGAAATTTTGAGGCTAGCATTTTGAAATTGCTGCGGAATTTTTTTTTCGAATTGTCCTGTTTTATAATAAAGAAACCCTTTGCAGCTATTCATAGTTAACCAAGAAATACCTTTGAAATCGAAAAATTTGTTCAGTTCAAACACCTCACTTTGTAATATTCAAGTGTCTTCCTAGTATACCTAAAAAAGACTATGAAAATGCCTTCAAAGATTTGCTCCGGAGACTGAAACTTATGTGTGTGTATGTTAGTGGTGAATACTTTGAGGGAACAAAATAAACATTCAGTGAAACCTAGGAAGTTTTATTTATGTGTTTAGATGCATTCATATTTGAACACTCCTTGTGTACGGTTTGACCTTACTCTATACAAATGATTGCTTGATCTTTTTATTTTGATGTGATAATTCCTTTAATAATTGGATAATTAAAAATTCTAAGCAGGATGTAACAATTATTGTGAGGTGTGATGTTAAAAGTTATCTATTCTTAGTGCAGTTCTCTCAATATTGATCTGACATAAAGGACAGTATTCCAAAATGGTGACCTTAATTTAGTGAGCAGAAGTACAGTATATGACTGCTTGCTGGCTTACTGGTATTGACTTTGGTATTGAATGCAATGATACCTCTTTCTATCTCACAACAGATATTGGATAAAAGGGGAAACGAAAACAGTTTTCATGAGTGTTAATGGATTAGAAAATTTTGTGTTTTCCAGCTGTGAGATTTGGGCGCGTACCAAAACGATCAAAAAGCATGGATGAGCAGCATGTGTCGTCAACGGAGCCCACGTTAGAGCAGACGGCACTTGAGAGTAAACAACTGGCAATCTATGACATCATTCTTAATGTATCACAAGCACATCTGGCCAACTGCGGTGTCACTGACGATAAACTCAAACTTCTGCAAAGGAGGCATGCGACTCTGGTGAGATTTAGCTATTTTATGAAAGTGTTTATTACTTGTGAAGGGTCTTCCTTTGTATAGACAGTTATCTGTTTGTTTATCTGTTTGTTTCTTTTGTTGGATCAGCACTTTTCTTTCTCACAGATATATAATAATGTGGGATTTTTAATGATATCTTTTGAACAGAAAGTTAAAGACACTTGTTATCTGTAGATATGTCATGTTAAGCTGAAGTATGTTGATTACCATTAGAGCAGCACTAGCTGATAGAGCCAGATCATCCTACACTAAATCTGACGGGATTACATAAAAATTGGCTGTATAATAAGTAATAGAACCTTTCTAGTAAAGGTTTCAGATCTCCTTCTGAATTAATTCAAATACTACAATTATGTATTTTTCGTTGTTGTGAATTGTTTCAATTATACATGATTGTATACTTCTATATTACATTGTTTTCTCATGTCCTTAAGTCAACCTAAAGATTTTTATTTCCTCATTTTGTTATTCTAAAAGCCTTCATTAAAGTTCATAGGAGTTTATTGATATACTGCATGTCTTACTTTCAATTAATTTTCTGTTAAATGATATTTCTGTCACCTGATATTTGTACTAGAATATTTCCTGCTGCAAAATCAATTAATAATAATTCATTTGAGATTTAATAGGCATATTAAATTCTATGAAAATGGCTATATGGACATGTTTGAATGTTCTATTTTGTATGTTTGTGAAGGTTTTCATTGATTTTGTATCATATAAATTTCTGGTAGGTTATTTCCTGAAATGTATTTATTGTCAGATCAATATTAGATGTATTGAAATAATTGAAATTAGATTGACAGAGAATCAGATGTCTTATGGCCCACTTTCATTTTATTGCAGATAGCATCTTTTAAGAAGGAATGTTTTAGTATTTTTTGCGAGCAGGCGACAGGCAGTTTGATGTGTACTTGTTTATGCTTTAATAAGTGCATTTGTCTGAGATAGTGTAATGCGTACAAGAACTAGAGTTGTAGCAGCTGAAAGGTCAAGGTCATACTTATAGGTCAAATATGGGTGCTTTTCAAGGCAGTAACTTTGCCGTTAATATAGATGAGCATAAATGTCAATGTGAATAATATTTTAGGTGCGCAACAACCAGACCGCTACCTCCAGGGTCAAGGTCGCACTTGCTCATTCAAGGTCAACATTGTCTATTTGAGGGTATATGTTGTGTCTGGTCCATTACTTTCTTATCTTTGAAGGGATTTTGTAAATACTTGCCACAATTGTTCACAATAATAAGATGATGTGTCATGCGCAAAAACTGGTCACCTACCTGCAAGGTCAAGGTCACACTTGGAGGTCAAAGATTAACATAGTCTGTTATGGGGTACAAGGGTCTGTTAAGGCGGGGAACGTTGGTAACCCTGTTACAAATTCTTGTCTTTCTTAGACTTACACATATAAACAGAAAAACAATTTTTCTTGACAAAACTTCAATGACCAGAGCTAAAATATTTGGCATTGTGGTCCTCTACAAAAGGTTTTATAAATCATGGCCCAGGTGTTCCACAGTTTACAAGGACTTGTATAGGAAAACATTAAAATCTTTCCTTTAAAACTATGTGTCCAAGAGCTTAATATTGGTCAGTAAAATTGTGTATGAGAACTCTTTATAAGTTATGTAAATCTCCTTGGGTCAAAATGGAATGTGGCATTCTCACCTTTTTATACGCCCGTTTGAAAAACAGGTTGTATTATAGTTTCCCACCTGGCGGCTGGGCTGGCGTCCGAAGCATATCTCCTACACGTATTTAAGAATTTTAATGTAACTTCATAGAAATGTTCACCACTATAAAAAGGAGTGCTGCCCACATGAACCAGGTCTCTAGGTAAAAGGTCAAGGTCGCACTTAAAGGTCATTGAAAAACGCTTGTCAGGAGCGAAACTTCTACATGCATTGAGGGATTTCAATATAACTTGGCACAAATGTTCACCTTGGTAAGGCGGAGTGTTGCGTGCAAAATTTAGGTCCCTGCAGCCAAGGTCAAGGTCACACATAGGGATCGAAGTTCAGATAATAATACGAAAATGTGTATATGGACCATTAAGTCATCATTTATTGAGGGGTTGAAACACAAATGGTAATTATCATGACTACTGGTGTGAAACATGTAATTTAATATAATATATGCAAGGTCAAGGTCACTTGAGGTGATAAAATATAGAGATTTTGTCCAGAGCATATCTCCTAAAAGCATTTAGGAATTTTAATGAAACTGTTACTTCATAGAAATGTTCACCACTAAAAGAAAGAGTGTCATACGCATAAGCCAGGTCTCTCGGTCAAAGTTCAAGGTCACACTTAGAGGTCAATGATAAACTCTTGTCCCGAGCAAAACTTCTACATGCATTGAGGGATTTCAATATAAATTGGCACAAATGTTCACCATGGTAAGGCGGAGTGTCACATGCAAAATTTAGGACCTTGCGGCCAAGGTCAAGGTCACACATAGGGGTCAAAGTTCTGATGAAAATGTGTATTTGGACCATGTAGTCATCATTTATTAAGGGATTGAAACACATTAATGGTCATTATCATGACTACCATTGTGAAGCTAAATTTTGCGCACATAATCCAGGTCCCTGCTACCAAAGTCAAGGTCACATAGAGAGGTAAGTTTGGGTATGGGGACCATTTATTGATGGATTGTAACACAAATGATTATGACTACAAGTGTGACACATGTAATTTAGGTTAATATTTGCTAGAATTATATCACTAGAGATGATAAAATATCCAGATATTGTCCGGATATTGCTCGGAGCATAACGTCTATATGCATATCTATAATGCCCACATCCCTGACAAAAGCTTTTGTGACGTGTGTATTTTGAGACAATGTTGCCCTTGTTCACATTGACTTAGATATTTTGGCATATAGTATCATCTTGTAGGTCTCTAATAATATATACAAATCATGTCACCAGGGTCAAATTTGGTCCTGTCCTGGATGGCATCAAGTGTTCATAGACTTACATAACAACATCCCCAAGAGATAAGATATTTGACAAGAAGCATTGCTTTATAGAATTTTACAAAAGTTATATGAATTGTGGCCCTAGGGTAAAAATGAGTCAGTTTCTATTAAATGCTATAACTTATTTCTGTATTAAAGAATTATGTCCTTGTTTAGCAATGGATTTCAGGTTAGCAAATTATGGTCATCATTGTCCTCTTGTTCTCTATTTATTCCAGATATATTCTTTATGTTTTTGCTTTATTTTGAACGTAGTCTCTTATCATTTATTTAAAAGGTAATGAGAATTTAATCAATTTATTTGTGTATTTCAGATGACCAAGATCGAGATACCTGACACTCTAGTTCAGTTTTCAGACGAGGAGTTAGAGACGCAGCGATTACTGATGTGGCAGTGTTACGCTCATCTCACAACTCCTGCTATACAAAGTATGGTAGAGTTTGTTAAACGTATACCAGGTAAATAATCCAACGTCATGTTGGGAAGTAAGGTTGTTTTATCCATCATATACTGGTGAAAAATAAGGTAAATAATCCAAGGGCATGTTGGGAAGTAAGGTGGTTTTATCCATCATATACTGGTGAAAAATAAGGTAAATAATCCAAGGGCATATCAGGAAGTAAGGTGGTTTTATCCATCATATACTGGTGAAAAATAAGGTAAATAATCCAAGGGCAAGTTGGGAAGTAAGGTTGTTTAATCCATCATATACTGGTGAAAAATAAGGTAAATAATCCAAGAGCATGTTGGGAAGTAAGTTGGTTTAATCCATCATATACTGGTGAAAAATAAGGTAAATAATCCAAGGGCATGTTTGGAAGTAAGGTGGTTTAATCCATCATATACTGGTGAAAAATAAGGTAAATAATCCAAGGGCAAGTTGGGAAGTAAGTTGGTTTAATCCATCATATACTGGTGAAAAATAAGGTAAATAATCCAAGAGCATGTTGGGAAGTAAGTTGGTTTAATCCATCATATACTGGTGAAAAATAAGGTAAATAATCCAAGGGCAAGTTGGGAAGTAAGGTTGTTTAATCCATCATATACTGGTGAAAAATAAGGTAAATAATCCAAGAGCATGTTGGGAAGTAAGTTGGTTTAATCCATCATATACTGGTGAAAAATAAGGTAAATAATCCACGGGCAAGTTGGGAAGTAAGGTTGTTTAATCCATCATATACTGGTGAAAAATAAGGTAAATAATCCAAGAGCATGTTGGGAAGTAAGTTGGTTTAATCCATCATATACTGGTGAAAAATAAGGTAAATAATCCAAGGGCAAGTTGGGAAGTAAGGTTGTTTAATCCATCATATACTGGTGAAAAATTAACAATAAATAAAAGTTTAAACTATTTATATAAATTGTATATTTTTAAAGTGATAATACTGGTCATCTATATGTTAAGCATTGTATTCATAAAATGTAAAATTGTATGCCTTAATTCACTGAATACAATGATATGGCATATATTAACCAACATTTTCAATAAAAACCATTAACATAAAGGACTAATGGAACAAGATTTATTTTAAAATTGGCAGATATTATCTGTTGTCAGCAGGGAATAGTAATTTGCAAATTTGCATATCTACGCGTGCACAGGTTAAATGCATTGGGTATTGTTGTTGTAGTAACAAAAGAATTCTGTTTTTCATAAATATATACAGACATATAGGGTAAAATAATTCCATTTAGAAAAGTCAATAAGTATTAACTTTTGCATTTAAAAATATTGAATAGTCCAGTCTTCAAATGTGGCAAACTTTTAATGATCTTAAAAACTTGTACATGTACATTATTACCATTGTCAACCAATTACAGTTAGAGTCGATGACTTCTAATCCAGTTACCTCTCTGGCATGGGTTCGATCCGCGGGAGATGCTTTTGTAGTTTAGCACAGAGGAAGGTAGTCTAGTGCTGGTGTAACTCTCCAGGAACGATGGTTAGGAAACTACCCGCCTATATGACTGAAATACTGTTAAAAAAACAAACAACCAATTACATGTACATCATATGTTTGTGTCAATTTTGTTTGCTGTTTCTCATATGAGGAATCATGGTTGTGACCCAAATTGATCTGAAACGCATTTTCCCCTGGGTGAGAGGCAGGGACCTGAACCACCCGGCTACAGGACAAGTAGTAATGTTTTCATGCACCAGCAGAATTTTTATACTCCTGCACAACAAAGGTATACTGGAATCAGCTTGTCTGTCCAGACTTCTGTCCGGGCTATTTAAGAGAAGTAGGGGGCCATCTAACTGTAAACAGAACAAAAGAGAACAATAGAGTTCATTCCCTAACAATAGAATAAGGGGCCATGGCCCTCTATTAAACAAAAGAAAATAACAAAAGAAATGGCCCCTTAGTTCATTTAAGGGGCACTTCTGTCCGGTCATCTGTCCGTCGAATTTTCCTTGTCCGCCCATAAACTTAAGATGCCTTTGACCCAGTCTTCATATTTGGCATGGAGGTTAGTCATGACTAGTAGATGACCTCTATTGATTTTGAGGTCAATGAGCCAAAGGTCAAGGTCACAGGGACCTTGACTATAAAAAGTTTGTCCGCCCAATAACTTAAGATTCCTTTGACCCACAGTCTTCATATTTGGAATGGAGGTTAGTCATAATTAGTTAGTGACCCCTTTTGATTTTGAGGTCATTGGGTCAAAGGTCAAGGTCACAGGAATTTTGACTTCAATACATAACTTAGCAATGCACTGGCTTAGTAACCTAAGATTTGGCAGGAAGGTTGTCCTTGATCTCTAAATGGCCACTGTATTCTGAAAAAGCGGTATATGGGGTATTCACGCCATGACTGTGGCAGTTCTAGTTTTCATTGGTCAAAATCAAATACATTAAATGATTAAATGACCGGTCAAAAGTGCATTTTGGAATTTTCAGATGTCAAATCCTGAGGTCTTACTGTATATAAGAAATAAAGATTTTTTATATATCATCATTGATAAAATTGAGAAACCGATTTACATATATCAGTATAATAATATAAGAATTGATATGATATCAGTATATCACAGGAAACTCTAATGTTAGGACTTTTATTTTAATTTGCATTCCTAAGAAGATTTATCTTCTTTTACATTGACACTTAAATTGTATGAATTGAAATGGAGAATAAAATATTGACATTCTTTAGTAAGATAACAAGTTTTCTTGCCATAAAATCTTCTTAATTGATATTTTCTCAGAAAGTTTTATCTCTGGAGAAAAGCTGACAGAGAAAGAGTCTTATTATGAGGAAATTCAGTGAATATTAGGAAAATAAGTTGAACAGTATTAAGGATGTCATTTCTTACAAATGAACACAAAAGTACATTTTTTAGTACTCATGAACTTGTATGTCTATCACTTTCAGCATTGTATTGTAGGAACACAGTAAAGCAGCATAATAATTTTGTATAAAATACCTAGATATGGTATAATAAGATTTTACATTTTATGATTTTTAATTACTTTGCATCCCCTCATCAATGTGGATTTAACAAATTCTTTTGTTAGGTATTTTGTTCTGAATAGCATATGTGGGCCAGGGATTTGAACTTAAAAGGCCTTCTGGTCAAGCAGTCATCATGTTTAAACTAAGTTATGTTAAATTTGATAAAAAAAGTCAGGACCAATATTTCTGAGATGGATAGTATTTTTGATGTTTCAGTTTCCTTTAATTGTGTGATAAAGCAATTAATATTGATTATAACTACTCTTCACAAATCTGAAATATATGATTTTCTATAGCTGAGAGGTTAAGGTCATTGATTCAAATCATTTGCCTTTCACTTCTGTAGGTTCAAGTCACGCAAGCTTCTTTGGATTCTTTCAATTGAGAAAGCTATCCAGCTAGCTTATGGAGCATCAGTGATTCTATTCAGGTGCCTGTTAGTGCCTGAAATAATGTAGTAATGTAGTGTCACCTGAGGTCTTCCTCCACCAGTAAAGCTGGAAAGTTGCCATATGACCTTTACTGTGTTGGTGTGACATAAAACTCAACAGCAACATATATGATTTTTGTGAATTTTGATTTATTATATAGTTACTTCATTATATTTTTCAGGTATTTTAGAACTTTCACAAGATGACCAGCTTATATTGATTAAAATGAGTTTCTTTGAAATGTGGGTAACTCGTATGGCACGCATGTTCTCACCAGATGAAAATTGCCTCACTTTTGAAGATGGCAGTATGATACAAAAAGAAGAGCTCTCTGTTGTTTATACGGTATGTACATGTAAAATTGGGCATTCTTAATTGTTTTATTGAATTGAAAGTTTTTTTAGACCAGGCTGTCGAGGATAATCTACGTTAGTGCAGCGAAGCACTTATTTCCAATCAGCAGACTCCAGAGACGGCTATGAGATACAAGGGAATCCGGGGACCAGTCCACTAGCTCTTGTGTCGTTAGCTCTTATTAGATTGAAAGTATTTTATTACCCTTTTTCCACTGTATTTACAAAATGACTTTTCGTGCACTGGATTTTGAATCTATTTATCGATTTCTTATTTGGAAAAAAAAATATAGTTACTTGTGCCTCAATAATCACCCAACATTTCAGTCAGCTAGTTCTCATTACAGAATGGGCTTACCTATTAATTTTTGTCAAATTTTTATTTGATGCACAATGTGCCATTGCTTTTTAAATAAACATGTTGCAAACAATCTCAAAAAACCTGTTACCCAAGGTCAAAGGTCAATGTTTAAAAATAAACTTGTTGGCAAAATCAAGCAAGATTCATATCTTATAATTATTTAAATTTTTGAGGGAAAAAAACTAAAGAAAAAATGAAGGAATGTATTGAATATCCCACAAGGGAGCTATCTGTTTCAATTTTGTTTTCACTTACACTTTGAGCACTCATATGGGAATAGCTATCATATATTTCTTCATGTCATACACAACATCTTGCCAAAGGCAAAAAAAAGACAATCAATCAGGAGATTTTCTGTGCCTTGAAAAAGTTTGCATGCACTATTATCCAGAATTATTCTATAAAAAAGAAAGGGAGTGTAATCTTGCTTGTTAACCAGGTTTTCAATTTTGAAAATCCTGGTTATTAGATTGGGGTATGGCGGGCGGGATGGGCGGATGGGCGGCTGGGCGGATGGGCGGGCGGGCGTCAAACGAAATTGTGTCCGCTCTGTAACTCTTCAACCCTTTGAAGAATTTTGATGAAACTTCAGACAAATGTTTACCACATCAAGATGACGTGCAGAACGCATGTTCCGCATGGCTGGCTCCAAGGTCAAGGTCACAGTGACATTAACATTGAAAATCCTGTCCGCTCTGTAACTCTTCAACCCTTTGAAGAATTTTGATGAAACTTCAGACAAATGTTTACCACATCAAGATGACGTGCAGAACGCATGTTCCGCATGGCTGGCTCCAAGGTCAAGGTCACAGTGACATTAACATTGAAAATCCTGTCCGCTCTGTTACTCTTCAACCCTTTGAAGAATTTTGATGAAACTTCAGACAAATGTTTACCACATCAAGATGACGTGCAGAACGCATGTTCCGCATGGCTGGCTCCAAGGTCAAGGTCACAGTGACATTAACATTGAAAATCCTGTCCGCTCTGTTACTCTTCAACCCTTTGAAGAATTTTGATGAAACTTCAGACAAATGTTTACCACATCAAGATGACGTGCAGAACGCATGTTCCGCATGGCTGGCTCCAAGGTCAAGGTCACAGTGACATTAACATTGAAAATCCTGTCCGCTCTGTAACTCTTCAACCCTTTGAAGAATTTTTGATGAAACTTCAGACAAATGTTTACCACATCAAGATGACGTGCAGAACGCATGTTCCGCATGGCTGGCTCCAAGGTCAAGGTCACAGTGACATTAACATTGAAAATCCTGTTTACATGATTTTAACTTGATTTGGCAGTCAAAGGTCATATCATCTTTGGAGGTAATTTAAAAAAGATATGATACATTATTTCATGTCTACTTTGTAACTTGTTTTTCATTATACAGAATTATCAATATAATTATAGTGAACAAATTCTTCTGTGCTGAACTCGTCCTACATTTCTCAACGGATTTTGTTCAAACTTTCACAGAAGCTTTGTCATCAAGCACCCTGGCACATATTGTCGGGGTTTTGTGATTGGATAGTTTTTGACCTAATTATGGCCCTTTGTTTTTTTCCTTATACATAATATTATAGTGAACACTTCTTCAGTGGCAATTCCTCCTACATTATTCATGTTTTACATTGCACATAGTTACATTGTTTGTTGCTTGTATTTGTATTTCAAATACAACATATTTATCTACAATGGTGATAATTGAAAACCTGGTTTCATGGCATTGCCATGTTTCTTGTGTACTTTGTGATCCTGAAGTATAATTAGGTTGTATTGTAGAGAAGAAATCTTGTTAAATTGATGGAGATGTACTCTGGTGGAAGTCAGGAGGAGAGAGAATCACATTCTTACACTTAATCACTTTGATGGAAAATGTCTTAGATTTAGCAGGAGAGATATTTTGCTGTCTACTGTAATTACATTCTTACACAACTTGAAATTTCTGATAAAAAATCTTCTCCTTTTTTTTCAAATGATATAAAGTTATATTTGCCAGTCTGTAGCAACTTGAATATTTGTATTTGGAAAAGAATCACACCAAAATTACTGTATTTGAAAGGATGTTAGTAAACTATCAATAGCAGGTAGCACAGTAAATCATTGCCAAAAAAAAGAAAAAAAAAAAGAATATTCCTTAAATTTTTATTCTTAGTACACACTTTAAAGTGACATTATGCCCATCCAAGTGTATATAAGTCTTTTCAATTTTATGAGGTATTTTGTATGAATGATAAATAACTTGCATGGCACTATTAAAGTTCTGTAAATATCCATCAAAATTTACCTGTAACATTCAATTTATAAAAAAAATGGGGCAGTCTTTTTATATTTTAGGCAGATTTTGTATTTTATCCTGATTAGAACATTTTCCAATATCAACTGTTGGACAAACACCATTATAAGCAGTCAATCATTTGAAATATATAGTATATTTTTCTTTAAAATATTTCACTTTCATTATTATAACATCTTAATTTACTTTAAGAGCTATTTTCCTTGACACTTTTTGATATTATGGGGTTTGTATCATTAAAAGTATAGTTACCAAATTTCATATTCACTTCTACTGGTCGGGAACCACCAACCGGACACTTTTTGAACATTTTTCCATACAGATTTTATAATTTTAAAGCTAGAGGTCTGAAAATTTTACACAGTACAGCTAGGTTCTTCTCCGAACTAACAGACAAGAAAAGGCATTTTCGGGGCCGTCTGGGTTTGGTGGTCTCCAACCAGTATTATGTACCTCAGATTAATTAAAAGTTTCATTCAAGTAATTTGTATCATAGGTGGGGAATATCAGTACAACAAATGGGCTTGTTGAAACTGTCTCCACATAATTACCGTAAGAATATGAAACTAGTCTTTAAATTTTATGATAGGGTAATGGCAAGGAGGCATAAAGTGTTACCCCTGTATGTCTGTCTGTCTACATGTGAGAGTGTGTGTGTGTCCCAAAACCATGCCCATAACTATGTCATGCATCAAGGGACTTTGACACATTTTGTCTCACATTTTAAGCATAATAAGAGGTGTCATGCATAAGACCTAGACCCCTAGCTCTAAGGTCAAGGTTACACTTAGAGGTTAAAGGTCAGGAGTTAGAAAATCTTGTTAGACCCAAAATTGTGTCATGCATCATGGATTTGGAATAACTAGGCACAAATGTGTAGAATGATATGACAGTTTGTCATGTACAAGACCAAGACCCCTAACTCCAAAGTCAAGGTCACACTTAGAGGTCATAGGTCAGCAGTTAGAAAAACTTGACTTGTCCTTAACTCTTATCATATATCAAGGATTTTTGAATTCACTTGGCAGTGTTATAGCATAATGAATCCTTTTCATTCTAGCAATTGTGATGATCAATGCTTTATTTTGACAATAAAAAATGATGGTTACTTATAAATGTAAATACCTATTCCAATTTTATGCTCCAGAACAGACTAAACTGATAAATATGTGCTCTCTCACTCTGAAATTAAGGTTACTTGTGAATATTGAAAAACTGTTTCTATCAACAGCCATCTGCCTCTTACTGTAAAAGGTCTTTAATTTGAAAAAAAAATGAAATACCAACAGTGCTATCCTATCATAAAATCTTGATTTATACCACATGTATTTGATGACCTATCTTGTAGTAGGGCATCCTTGTCTTTCAGACACATTTCTAGTTTACAGTGAATTTTTCAAGTGATAGCTTTCAACCCCTAAAGCAAAATATATCAATTAACCCTGGTTGCTGTTGATGATAATGACAGGTGGGTAAGACCAGTATGGAGCCAGGCTAAACTAACTTTAGTATAGTCATGATTTTATTCTCAGCTTTCTCCTGCTAATGTCTATATTATGAGCTGGATAAATCCTTGCCGCATCTACAGTAATAATGTCTTATGGTTAGCCTATAATGACATCACATAGCCTATGATGACAACACATGGTTAGTCTATGATGACATCACATGGTTAGCCTATGATGACATCAAATGGTTAGCCTATGATGACATCACATAGTAAGCTTATGATGACATCACATGGTTAGCCTATGATGACATCACATGGTTAGCCTATGATGACATCACATGGTTAGCCTATGATGACAACACATGGTTAGCCTATGATGACATCACATGGTTAGCCTATGATGACATCACATGGTTAGCCTATGATGACAACACATGGTTAGTCTATGATGACATCACATGGTTAGCCTATGATGACATCAAATGGTTAGCCTATGATGACATCAAATGGTTAGCCTATGATGACATCACACAGTTAGCCTATGGTGACAACACATGGTAAGCCTATGATGACATAACATGGTTGGCAGCAAAACAAAACTACACATAGACGTTATTTATCAGGGAAAAAGTAAGAATGAAACTATTTAAATAATATAAAAATATGATTAAACTAGACAGAGGCAGGATAAATCGAAGACATGTCAGGATAAGAGAAGGTTTATCAGGTTCACTGTGAGAGTGAACCTTGGCTATTTATTTCTTGGTAATCTTTTAAGATATTACACATGACTAAAGAATGATAATATTTGCTGGTTTTCCAAGATCCATAACTCTAAACTGTCTAAATTATAGCCCTATATGACATACAATACTCCTAAAGGTGAAGGTCTTCAAATCAAGTCTTGCGGATAATTGAGTGTACTGTCTATCTCACTGCTTTCATTTATTTTGCTTATAAGTGAAAAATTGTAATAGTCTGGAAGGAATAATAATGAAAAAAACAAAACCCACATAATATAGTTTATAAATTAGTTGGACTTCCTTCTACAGAAATTACAATTTGTCATGTAATGGATATTTATGATGCCTACTCTTGGGATTTTAATAAAGTCATGTGATTTATGATCCAGTGTCATATTGACTCTGAGATTGCTTGAACAAAGTCTGGAAGTTAACAAAACATAACATTGCAACAGGTTTTGCTGATCAATTTCTATATTTGTTGATAACTTCCTGTTTGAATTATTTATTTCACCAGGATATACAGAATTATGTGTAGGAGGCTATAAGCTAATAGAAATATCTTGAATCTGTTCCTGGAAAAAACCAGTACTGAGCTATGAGTGTAAAGTTGCTTGCTCAAGGAAACAACAGCTTGCCCTTCAAAGTGGGCTTGAACCTAGAGAGCTAGAACTCTTTCGATTACTAGTCTGACACATTAACCACTCAGCCATACTGCAAGCTAATTTAAATTATTTCATGTGAGATAGTTATCTTGTTGAGCATGTTAAAGGTCTTGTTTTTCTACATGGATGACACGTTGTGTTTGATATATATCATGGAGCAGTATTTGATGTCTTCATTCAGCAGTAACTGCTGTTGCTTGAAATACTTGTGTGACTGTGGAAGTGTTTGTTTGATTTACATACTAGAGAATTATACTGGAAGACGACAAAACCCACACGCCAAAACCCAGCACCTCAAAATTTTAGAGTGGACAAAACCCCACACATGATTTTTTTTTAAATATTTGTTCAGGGCTTGCTTTTTATTTTCCTGAAAACACACTTCTTCTATATAAAACCAGTTGAATCAATGCTAAATTTAAGGTTTTTAGGTTTTCTGACATTTTGAACTTGCACCTATGATATTCCTATGATAATATCTGAGAATATCTTCAGAAAAAAGTCCCTTGTGAATAATGCATGAAGATCAAATAAAATATTTCTGTAAAGATTCATTTGCTGATTTTAGTATGTCTAATGACGATTTATTGCATGTGCCACCTCCTTTATTTTATTATTACTCTTTCAAGAGTATGAATTTTATCAAGGAACATAACAATAACAGTCAGTCTAATACAACATTTTACTGGTCAAAGCCTAATTAAAACAAATATATACACATGTATTATAAGATGCTTATATGGTTATGCTGTTTTACAAATTCAGTTATATTGATAAAAAACAAATTCAGTTATATTGAGTTTTTTATCTGTTGCAACTTTCAAAAAACACCCCTGTGCTGTAAACATCTGATAATTTGATATCATTAAATAAGATGAGGCCATATTCTTTGCTTTGAGCTGATGTTATTGACAAGGTTAATAGCCAGTGTTGATATATATGTGTAATCATTTGTTATAAATGGTATTGATTAAAGAATAAAACAAGTCTTGCCTTTTATGTCTGTCTGATCATCATTGATGATTTTTATTCTAGGGAAAATAAAGATATCTTTTAAGGTAGTTTTGACCCACGTAAAAGGCCATTATTCCTTTCTATTTCTCATTGAAAAGCAGATCAAAAGTGTAGGTGTCAGGTCCCCACCTTAGTGCAATAAATGATTAACTTCTATTAAATTTATAAGAACTTAACCCGTTACTGTACTAAGGTTACAATGTTATTTTATCCCCACCTCCTCGGATGACTGTCTTTATTTAATATCTTTGGAAACTGTTAGAATATTAACTTGAATTATTTATGAATTGTCACAAGAGTGCTTGGTAGGCCAAGTTCATAACTTTTCATTACAATATGTGAAAGTTATGCCCCCTTTTCAGCTTGTCTGTTACAAAGAAAACAAGCTGCGATGTTGTTGTTACTGTTGTCATTGTCATGCTAAAACTTTAATATAGGTCATTACTCAAACAATTACAAAAGTATCAACATGAAACTTAGAAAGTTTGCTTATCATGACAAGAGGCAGTTATAAGGCAAGGGGCATTATTAAAACAGCTATATTTTTGGAGTTAAATCCCTTTTTAACTTAGAATTTTTGTTAAAATTGCATATTAAATAGAATCATTTCAAAACAATAAAAGATATCAACATGAAACTTTGAATTTTCTTGTTAATTTTGACAAGACACAATTTTTAGGCAAGGAACATTATTATGAGAGCTATATATTTTGAGTTATGCCCCTTTTTAGCGCAACTTTTCCAAGAATAGGGAGAGCTGTTGTACTCACCCAGTCATCACCATCAGCATCATACTTTAGACAGATTTTATTGCAACTTTAAGAATATGTGTGTAATTAATAATATACTGATTTCAAACTTCAGCAACTATGTTGTAAGAGTTATTGCCCTTTCAAAGTTTTAGAAGCATATGTATCCATATAAATGACTCTATCTATATGTATTTCCTGTACCTGTTTTGAAAACGATCTAAACTTCTTTCAGACTGAGTTTGTGAATGCAATGTTTGATGTAGCAGGGAATATAAATGGCTTAAACCTCAATGATACAGAGATAGGGCTGTTGTCTGCTGTTATATTGGCTACACCAGGTTAGTAAAAATGTTTGATGTAGCAGGGAATATAAATGGCTTAAACCTCAATGATACAGAGATAGGGCTGTTGTCTGCTGTTATATTGGCTACACCAGGTTAGTAAAAATGTTTGATGTAGCAGGGAATATAAATGGCTTAAACCTCAATGATACAGAGATGGGGCTGTTGTCTGCTGTTATATTGGCTACACCAGGTTAGTAAAAATGTTTGATGTAGCAGGGAATATAAATGGCTTAAACCTCAATGATACAGAGATAGGGCTGTTGTCTGCTGTTATATTGGCTACACCAGGTTAGTAAAAATGTTTGATGTAGCAGGGAATATAAATGGCTCAAACCTCAATGATACAGAGATTGGGCTGTTGTCTGCTGTTATATTGGCTACACCAGGTTAGTAAAAATGTTTAATGTAGCAGGGAATATAAATGGCTTAAACCTCAATGATACAGAGATAGGGATTTTGTCTGCTGTTATATTGGCTACACCAGGTTAGTAAAATATAACCAATATAAAAATGGTTAAAACGTTACTAAATTAAGGTAGGTGTACTGTAACCTGTTAGTTACAGTAAGATGACTAAAATCTCAATGATAAAGAGATAGGGGGCTGTTTTCTACTGTTATATTGGCTACACCAGGTTAGTAAAAATGTTTGATGTAGCAGGGAATATAAATGGCTCAAACCTCAATGATACAGAGATTGGGCTGTTGTCTGCTGTTATATTGGCTACACCAGGTTAGTAAAAATGTTTGATGTAGCAGGGAATATAAATGGCTTAAACCTCAATGATACAGAGATAGGGCTGTTGTCTGCTGTTATATTGGCTACACCAGGTTAGTAAAATATAACCAACATAAAAATGGTTAAAACATTAAAGTTAAGGTAGGTGTACTGTAACCTGTTAGTTACAGTAAGATGACTAAAATCTCAATGATAAAGAGATAGGGGGCTGTTTTCTACTGTTATATTGGCTTCACCAGGTTAGCACATGTACTAAATGTAAATGTAATTTGAAACAAATAAACTGGAAATAATAGACTTGGCTTTAAATGGGCAAGATTGTTTTGCCAGTTTACCTGCCGGCTCTATGCACAACGCCATGTTACTCCAAAGTTACCTACTCAGTATTGGTTTTCCAAAGTTTAAAATTAAAAACAGTATCGCTTTCAAAATAGTGAAAGCTCGCTAATGTTTGAAAGATCAAGAGGAGGTGACAACCTATTGGTGGTGGTCAGATCCTAATGCGTAGTGTTATTTAGGAACTGATTTTAATCAGATTGGTACATGTACTAAGGAAAGAGGAAACAACCTATATGAAACACAGCCATGTGTATTATCTGCTTTAGGTTAGAAAAAAGCATTAGGTACAAACTGTTTCAACCTTAATGATGGGCATTTTGTATGCTGCAGCTTAAAAAGAAGCTGCTTAATTGGCTACTGTCACCAGGTAGTTTAAATGGATTTAAACTTTTATGAAACATAGAAAATAGTACCTGCTGTTATATTGGCCATACAAGGTTATCTGCATACAAGGATAATTGATAAATGTATACTTAACTATAGGTCAAAACCATCTATGGCAATATTGGCAACACAAGTTATATAGGAAGCTAAGCTCATCAAATCATTTTAATTTGATTTTTATAACAACATTAAGTTTTAGAATGTTTTTTTTTTATCACTTTAATCTTCCCATTGTTGATCATATTGCCATTGTTTATGAGAAAATTGAAGGGAAATTGATAGTTTAAACAGAGTAAAATTTACATCAATTGAAAATCAATATGTATTTTAAGTGGTAAATGCTTTGAACTCAATAATTTAATGGAAGTTTGTTGCAGTAGGGTTTCAGTAACTGATCTGGTTGAAGTACATGCATGTCAGTAATAATTACAGTTTAGTTCCCTATCTCACAACATCTTTTTTCACCCTTTTCATGTTTGATTTTTTTCTCAACAAACATTTATTTAAAGGTGAATAAAGTTTTAAACATGATGGTACATGTACAAACAATGTCACAAAATGCTGTTTAGCTGAACAATTCAATGAAAATATGGGAATACCCTACTCACCAAAACACAGGGGTAGTTCACATTCACTGAAGGTTTTCATTTGAAACTTCACAAATGTATTCATGTTCATAATTATAGGTCAGTGATCAAAATTCTTAACTTACTGATTTTTGTGTCCCCTGCTACAAAGTAGTAGCAACATACAGAGGTCAAAGAAGTAGCAACATACAGAGGTCAAAGTAGGAGCAACATACAGAGGTCAAAGTAGTAGCAACATACAGAGGTCAAAGTAGTAGCAACATACAGAGGTCACTTCTCCATCCTTCCATCTGTCACAAAAATGTTTTGGTCTACTCCACAAATACTTCTTGCGCAATTTCATCAAATTTCACAAAGTTTTGTGTTGTCTATTACACAGTAGCTGATACATGCTCCAAAGTAGCCACAATTCTTTTGTTGTCTGTCCATCATAAACTTGTCCAAAACTACTCTTCAAATACTACTGATGCAGTTTCATCCAAACTTTCAAGAAAGATCAGTACCAAGTGTAGTTGTTCATATCGCCCACGTTTTCCAGTTCTGTAATTGTTATGAGTTATTGCCCTTTTTTAATGTTTTGTCTACACTTCTTTTATTATGATACTTATGTAATTTAATTTAAACTTTTCATGATTGATTGCTACCTCAAGCACTTCCTGATGATTTATGGGTTTTCTGGTTGAATGATATTATGCTGAGTTATGGCCCTTGAATTAAAAAAACAAAAACGTTTTGCCCTGTTAATATTTTTGTGTCTCCTGCTACACAGTAGCTACAAAGTAGCCACAACATAGAGGGATTTAACTGGTCAATCCCTCCTCAATACATTTACTGAATAAGCTATCATCAGGTGACACATGTGATCACTGATTGCTCTTGTTTAAAAAGCGGACTATTTTCTCTTGGAAAACTTTCAGCATGACTATTTTAATATGGAGTATTGAATTTGATATGGAGTATTGAGAATAATTATTCAAACACATTGTTCTTTAAACAAGATTCCTTGGTGAAATTTTATAGATTTTCTACAAGAGCGTAAAGCATCTTGGGACTTTTTTTGAAATAATAAAGTTTAATTATTATCATTGTTTTACTGCTGTTTATCACATAATATGTTATCTGAGATTTCAGATTCACTCCTGTGTCTGAACAATGTTACATAAGCGTCTGTTTAACCAGGATTAATATTGAGCATTATCCTGCAGGTTGCTGGAACTGTACATAAGCAGTATTTGCTACTAGTACGGAGGCAGGGCTGGCCAGGCTGCACATCAGTGTAGTCTGAACAGGTGCTAATCCTCAAAATTAGTAATTCCAAACTTGAAAACTGCAAGAGTCCATTTAAGACACAAGTCTGATTGGAGTCACTGATGTTTTTTTTACCAAATTCATGTTCTTAAGTTGAGAATAGAATAATTCCAAAACTGGAAAGCTAGATCAGTTCATTTAACAGTTTCAAGAAGTTTAAGGGTATTATGAAACATTTTTATAGAATTTATCCATATAGCAATGGTTTTTGTGCATGAACCATCACTTTTAAGACAATTTACTAATGTATTTATTTCATACAAGCATTTTGGAAGTATTCTTTCTTAAAATTCAAAGAAAAATAGTTTTTGCTGCAGTTATGTTATAGCTTGATGCACTTTAAGAGTTAAAACAAGCTAAAGATAAAAACACCTCAACATTGTTTTGCAGGAACTTGACTGTAGACTGTAAACTAATCCAAATACTAACATTTAGGAGAAATTAGCATAAATCATTCCACAAGAGAATTGTAGAGATATGATATGACAATATTAAAGTGATATGAGAGATGATTACTGATATAAAAAAAATATCATAACTATCTAAAGTTTCCTCTAAAAGCTTTGTATTGATTGTGCAATGGAGTGATGTGGCATTCACTTGTGACAGACACAGAATAAATAATCATTTAACATACAATGCATCATGGGAAATGTCTGGATAGAAGAAAAATGTTGCTTTTTTTATGCAGACAGAAATATTTAGGTTTTTTTTCTCCAGAGTGAACGAACCATAGGTTATGTCAGTCCTATAAGAATAAGATCATTTCTTTAACTAGATGTAAATCTGGGGGAGGCTATTTGGTTGTCTGGGTTACCGTGCCCTTTTTTTCTTTTATATATGTAGTCTAGAAAATGTGTCATTCATGTAAGTAATGATGCTTGATTTAGTATGATTAATACATGTACTTGTATTTGGACTAGCTAGGTTTCCTTGAAAAATTAAGATACTATGATATTTTGTACTCTGTTATTAATTATATGAGTCAAAGTTGATACTCCTTTATCTGCGTACATGTCGGAATAATTACCTTTTTTTTCTGTAAAAACATAATGAAAATTTGTATCTTTTTTCTATCATATGAAAGTATACAAAATCAGTACTTGTCTAAAATTGGTCAAATCTTGTGAAACATATAATTTTCTGAATTATGGCCCTTTCTTGTTTAACAACCAAAATTTTTAAGAATGATTTTGTAGAAAATTCAAAATGAACATACAGGATTAATTGATTGATTTCTCTTTTGGTAAGAAATGGAAATTTTTACGTATTGTTATTTTGTTGCAGATCGACATGGAATACGAGATATGAAAGCAGTTGAAAATCTCTGGGAGAAACTGATCGAGGCATTAAAACTTCAGTTAAAACGGAACCATTCTACAGAAGAGAATTTATTCGGCACTGCTCTTGTAAAGTTATCAGAGTTACGTACCCTTGGTTCCCATCATAACGAACTGTTACAGTACTATAGATCACATTGGCACCGATGCAAAATACCTCCACTTTTCTCAGAGATTTATGACGTTCCTAAAAACGAGGTATACACAGGCGATTCTGCAGCCTCATTGTGAGTCCATGATGAAGAATTGTGCAAAAGTAATTGAACAGTCTTTATAGAAAGAAGAATATGATCACATAAAAGCAGAGAGGAAAAAACAGAAGTATCATACCAAGAACAAGTTATAACAGATCAGGGAAATTATCAGGAAAAAATCAGCCAGAATTAGTTATCAGCTTCAGTATTTTTTTAGGTTTGAAAATTCTGCTGTTTTTTTTTAACCATGTTGTTTGAGAAAGCAAATACGGGTTGTTTTCTTTGTAAATCAAAAATATTCTACTGTTGTGAATTTTGTTCATTATGAGATCAGAATCTAGAATTTATTTTCATGTCTTTTCTGGAATATTTAATGAGGAAATTCTTGCAGTTGTCAAGCATTATCAATTGTATTTCATAATTCAATTTTGGTTGGGTTTTTTTTTCTAGCAAATTTTTGTTCATATTCTCTTAAACTAGCATTACATATATAACATTTATGTGACATGAAGGTCATGAACTATTTATACTTGAGTAAAGTTTTATTTTAAAAAAAAAGAATTTGTTAAGTGTGCTGAAAAAGTTCAGATCAAAATGAAATCAAGTAATTTTATTCGTAGTGATATATGAGGACAATATTCTCTGTTTATATAATTATGTAAGGTGATAAATAGATATTGATATCAAAATAAAATATGTATATCAGATTCTAAAGTTAACAAATGACGATTATAAAAGATGTGAAGTTCTGGGATATTTCCTTTCTTAATTTTGTACAATGAAATGTTTAACATAGTAGATAGTGTTGCAAAGAAACTTAACATTTATGTATGACAGAGAAAATGTGAAAAACTTTTTTTATTTGTTGAAAATATTTGTTATAATTTGAAATGTACTCTCAATTACCCGGTCCAGGCCATACTTTAAATACATGGCTGATGTATACATTTTGTTTGAAAATATGTAAATTTAAGAAAAGAATGCTTGTTTTTTGTAGATTATATAGATATTATAATAAGTAATACAGCTTTTAAAGCCAGCATAGATGTTTCTGTATTTAAGAGGAAAGGGAGGTAATTAATATGCACATTTAACTATGATATTAGAGTTACCTGTAGTTTCATTTTGAGTATGTGAAATCTTGATATGTGTGGCGTCAGTCAGGTTTACTATCATGAATCATTTATATATTGATTTATATCCAGTTTTTACTTAATTGAAGGTCAACCACTTAAGTATTGGAAGTTTGGGGAAAAAAGATAGTTGGTTTGATATTTGTCCAGTATAATTGTCTCCTACAGCCAGATGATAAGTAATATAATTAAAGATTGTGAGAATAGATTATGAAAAGAAAAATTATTGTAAGATCTTAAAGGGTGTGAAGCTATATCTAATGAAATATTTTAATAAAAATTATTTACATTAAGAATCATACGTAGAATGTCTCTGATATCTTACACACATGAATAATGTACGTAAACAGAATAAAATGTTGCGGAGCAAAATAGTTTGGTGATACATTTACGGTAGTTGGGTTAAAATCGTTAAGCAATGATTTTGTGCACCTTAGGGAAATAAACTAACATATTTCTATGTATTTTATACAGATATTTTGAAAGTATTCAAAATCCAAGCAATAATTTTTACAGCAGATATATAGCTTTATACAGTTAAAAAGAGTATAGTATAAATATCTTACACTATTATTTTTCTTTTGACACCATCACATTATGAGCACAAGCAGTGATTCTAATGACGGGGCTTTCCTTGCTGTACTTTTACACTCTTATTATGGTACTTAATCAGTGTTTCCACCTTGAAATTGTTTAGTTTAGCCAGGGACATGTTGAAATTCAGCGCAGATTTAGTCTATGCCCATATTTCAGCTTGGATAGGGTTACAAACTGGTTTATTATGCCCCCACAATGTGGGAGCATATAGCGTTGCACTTGTCCGTCCGTCCGTCAGTCAGTCCGTCCGTCAATCCGTCAGTCCGTCCGTACGTCCCGAAATCTTGTGAACGCAACTCCTCTTAAACCGGATGGCAGATTTTGCTTAAACTTCCAGGGATGAACAACCTTAATGTGTAGATGGTAGTAAAGGAAGGAATTTTCGCTGCGACCAAATTTAACAGAATTATGGCCCTTTGTTGATTTTTTCATTATATACTATGTAGAAATTTTGTGAACGCAACTCCTCTTAAACCGGATGGCAGATTTTGCTTAAACTTCCAGGGATGAACAACCTTTATGTGTAGATGGTAGTTAAGGAAGGAATTTTTGCTGCGACCAAATTTAACAGAATTATGGCCCTTTGTTGATTTTTTCACTATATACTATGTAGAAATCTTGTGAACGCAACTCCTCTAAAACGGGATGGCTGATTTTGCCTAAACTTTCAGGGATGAACAACCATAATGTGTAGATGGTAGTAAAGGAAGGAATTTTAGCTGCGACCAAATTTAACAGAATTATGGCCCTTTGTTGATTTTTTCACTGTATACTATGAAGAAATTTTGTGAACGCCACTCCTCTTAAACTGAATGGCAGATTTTGTTTAAACTTTTAGGGATGAACAACCTTAATGTGTAGATGGATGTAAAGGAAGGAATTTTTGCTCCGACCAAATTTAAGAGAATTATGTCCCTTTGTTGATTTTTTCACTATATACTACATATGTATCTAGAAATTTTGTGAATGCAATTCCTCTTAAACCGGAGGGCAGATTTTGCTTAAACTTTCAGGGATGAACAACTTTAATGTGTAGATGGCAGTAAAGGAAGCAATTTTTGCTGCGACCAAATTTTACAGAATTATGGCCCTTTGTTGATTTTTTCACTATTTACCATATAGAAATTTTGTGAACGCAACTCCTCTTAAACCGGATGGCAGATTTTGCTTAAACTTCCAGGGATGAACAACCTTTATGTGTAGATGGTAGTAAAGGAAGGAATTTTTGCTGCGACCAAATTTAACAGAATTATGGCCCTTTGTTGATTTTTAGTTTTCAACTTGTGGCACATGTAGTCCAAAAAATATTTGACCTAGAGTCATAAGATTGAAAGAACAGTGGCGTGTGGGGGCATCCGTGTCCTATGGACACATTTCTAGTTCTAGTTAACCTGTTTAGATTTATTTGTTAGGTTATAAATTACTGGTATTAATATAGGCCAGCAGTAAAAAATGTTTGTAAATTTGTTAGGATTGGTGTATAACTTAGCTGACTTTGCAGTTAATATTAAATCAAGAAGGGTTTTTTTTTCTAAATTTTTATTGATTTTTATTCACCTCCTAGAAACATAAAAGTAATAATGGAAAGTTCTGTATATTTGGCCAGTGCTACTTTATATATGTTCATATAGCTTAAATTGTATAAATTTGTTTGTCCAATTTTATAAAATAGACTGTGTCAAGATTTTTAGAATAGACTGTGTAACAGCCTATATGTGTAAGTATTTGCGTGTATGTATGTAATATACATTCATTTCATTTATCTTTTTCCTACTTTATAGTACACATAATTATGCTGTTGTTAAATATGTTCTGTGTTTACACAAAAACATACGCATATGCTGTAGATATATATATATTTTATGTTTACACAAAAAACATTTTTATTTTTTAGAACAACATCATTTTCTGGAGGTATTTATAGATCTCATTATGATTATCTACCGGTGCTTGTTTATGATTTTGTCAACATGTTGTCCAGTATTCCTTATTTGTTTATGATTATTATTATCATTTCTGTTTGAAAGAAAAACAATAACTGTCTACAGATCTTATTTGTGTCATTATGGAAGTGGTTTGAGTGTAATGTAGCTTTGTGCCATCATAGTACAGGGCTAAGTGCAGGTTAAGACAAGATAAACTGTAAAATGATTTTTAATTGACATATCTTAAACCAGTATTCGTTTACAGAATTTGAAATTGATAAATATGCCCCTTTTTGAAAAAAAAAAAGATTTAAATTTTGATTTTAAGTTAAACTTAATTCAGGAAATCACCTTTGGAATGTGGAAGAGGGGATTGGGGATAAGCATAGTGTTGATTTCCAGTATGTATTTAAGGATCGTCAAGACTCAAAAGATATACTAAAAAATGTGTTGCAGTCTTAGAGAAAATGCTAAAATTGTCACAGGGTTATTGATCAATGCAAGTTAATGTGCATTATTGAGTTGATATAAGTCTTGTGTTTATTGTAGGCTGGTAAGAAAGATGTGTGTATTCATTTTACGCATCAAACGACCATTTATAGTGGCCAGAATACACAAAATATGCTGTATAAACTGTGTAAAAATGCTTATACAGTAATTCATAGTTTTTGTTTCTTTTGTGTTTTTTTTCCTGTTTCCTTGGAAATAGATGTCAGATATTTCCTATGTATATATTTACCAGAATCAGTTGTTAGCAGTTCCTGAATTTTTGCAGTTAACAGTTTGAAAGGATGTAAACATTGAATTATATAGAATTATAAAAATAATGTTTTTTCTGTGAAAACACTGGTTTAAAACTGCTTAACATACATTCTTATACGATATAAATTGTAATTCTATAATATACTTTTAGTAGCATTGATTCTCATCATTAAATTGTTACCTTTAATCACATACAATTATATTAATATTGTACACAGCTGTTGCAAATTAAGTAACTAATCTATATCAAACATTTTGCAGTATTTTAAACCTAGGACATGTAATAATATGTCCTAGACAAAGTGTTGGACTGTGTATCTGGCAACCTGGGTTCGATTCCTGGACAGTGCAGGTCACTTTCGTTGTGATTGATCAAGAAACCCTTACTATGGCCATTCGCACTGTACCTCTGTTCTGGCATGTACAGAAAATTATCAGTTCCTTGTGAAAGTGAAGGCAACTAGTACTGGTAAACTGCTCGACAGCCTGCCCAGGAACGATGGGGTGGCTGACTGCCCTCATCTGGAGTAAAAACACCAACACCACCACCAGATAATATAAGCTGTCAGTGTTTATACAGAGCCAGATAACTTTTCAAAACTCATCACAACTAATATGTTATTGAAAAAATGTTTAAATAAACTTGTTCATTTTATGTCATTTTATCACAAAATCATGTATTGTGAATATTTCATATAATCATGATTGAAAGAAGTCACCATTTTTTTAGAATATAAGAATCCCATTTTATTGTGAAGATTTTTGTTAATTTTTTGTCATTTGACTCAGTGCAATTGAGAAACTTGTACTGGTCTATACAATAACACAGTGACACTAACATTGAAAACCTGGTGTATTTCTTCTCAGGGACATTTGAGCCGCGTCATGACAAAACCAACATAATGCGTTTGCGACCAGCATGGATCCAGACCAGCCTGCGCATCCGCGCAGTCTGATCAAGATCCAAACTCTATTACAAATAGAGAAACTGATAGCGAACAACATGGATTCTGAGCAGACTGCGCGGTTGTGCAGGCTGGTCTGGATCCATGCTGGTTGCAAATGCATTACGTTGGTTTTGTCATGACACGGCTCATTTCAAATTGCATTATATACTAAAATAAAACCACTTACCTCTTTTATGAATAAATACAGGTGTGCAAAGTATCTGTTGTATTAAAGTTAGAAAATTTACTGTCAGATAGGGTTTGAAATGGGTTAAGATTGAGTTGTAATTTCTTTGGATAGGATTTGAAAATGTTTGCTATTTCATCAAAGCATGTAATTTTTATACATCTCCATTTTGTAATTTCATTTCTTGCATGATTTCAAATGAGGCCTAGATTTAAAGTTGCCATTAAATTTATTTTGTCCTTGAATTCAAATGTATAAAAAATAATAGTTTGTAAGCACAAGTTGAGTCTGTGCACAATGAGGTTAATATTGAAAGCAGTTGTTATGTATGGAAGGAAGGTAATAAAGAAAAAAGACTTTAAGTAATAAATACATCTTATTACTTTTGTGTTAAAATAATAAAAAAATCAGTCAAATTTTTATATACATGAAAATGCTATAATAAATATATTAATAGATGTATTCTTCATTTTAAAAAACTCATGACATTCACATTTTAGCCGTATCATTAAGATATAAGTCTGTCATTATTAAAAAAAAGAGAGTATTTTTAGTAAATTTTTGACTCATTTCAAACCCATATTGACTTGTTTTATACACTGTTTTTTGTCATAAATCTAAAAATATTTGTTCATTTTTTTGACTCATTGTTTAACATAATTGGCTGTATCATATAACTGAATATTTTCTTGAATTGATAATACCATTTTGATAATTTATATTTATTTTGATAATGCTTTCTGCTGTAAATCGATGCTTTTTTGGGGGCAAGAATTGTAATATATAAAACTATGAAAGTAATTTAAGGACATGAATAACTTCTTTTCTCTGTTATAGTTCTACATTTGAGCCACGTCACAAAAAACCAACATAGTATCAGTTTCTCTACTTGTAATGGAGTTGGTAAGCAAACAGCTTGGATCCTGATCAGACTGGGCAGATGCGCAGGCTGGTCTGGATCATGCTGGTCACAAACGCACTATGTTGGTTTTGTCATGACGCGGCTCATTTGTGCTTTGTCAGATCCTGCATGAATTCTTCAAGAATGATCGAGTTACAGAAAGTAACCAATTATATTAAGACAGGCATATCCTAAAAACAAACTGGAATGAATTAATAATGCATATTAAAGAAAACTTGTTCATGAAGGTTGCCCCTTGACTTTCTCTTTCGGTAAATTGTCCAACCTGTCTAAATAAAACTAGTCTAGCTATTACCTGTCTGGTATTGAAATTAAATAGTGTTTGCCAACAGTGTATAGCCAGGCAAACCATGTAGTCTGACCAGGGGCCAAGGTTTTAAATTCTAATCTCAAACTCAGATCTCAGGTATTTGATTGGTCAGAAACAGGCATAAAATG